GAACCACCACCCTTCTAAGTTAAATGCTGTGTTTGTTTCAGAGAGTACTAAGAATGTGTGACGAGTTATACCTGAATGTTGAGCTAGAGTACGTCAAGCAAATCCTTCATGACAGCAAGCTAAAATGCCGCAGTGAGCAGTTCAGCGTGTATTGCCATATTTTTGCGTAGGGTAAAGCATGAAGTGTGCTTTTATAAGAACAGCCAGTCATTCAAACAAACCACCCATGAAGTCAAATATTAAAAATTTATTATATTATTATTTTTTTTTATTATCGTTTTGAATACTTATAGTTTACATAACTATCCAAAACGATATAAAATTAAAACCAAGCATCAAATCCTCAAGAAACTATAACCTCTTCCCCATAGATAGAAGTAAAATGCATATGATTATTGATTTTACTTCTAACTATGGGGAGTCATTCACGGAGCAGCCTTAGCTGTTGCACGAATGGGCAGGTTCGTCCAGGCAAGTACCACGACCTAACAGATGACTGGCGTCAAGTGGAAATATAACTTTCACGTTTCGTCTGGTGCGTGAGGTAGCCGGAGTAAAAAATTTTCAAAAGGTTTTAAAGTTTTTTATAGTGCTAATCTCTGCACATAAGATTGAACAACTCCCGAAGACGTGGGTTCGATTCCCACAGCGGCGACAATCTTTTCGTACTTTTTCTACATGTTTTAAGTTTTAAAAGGTTGTCAACGCACCTGCAACCATCGGGTGTAACAGATGTCCAAGGGCGGCGGTATTCATTTAACATCAAGTGAACCGCCAGCTCGCTTGGCAACTTTTCACATAAATAAAAAAAAAATACTGTACATAATATCTCAGTCTATCCGATTTCCATGAACGCTTCATGCGAAATGCAGGGAATTTAAAAACAAACAGTTCTGTAAACATGTTGCTGTACTCATTTAAGACATTAAAACGTGATTCATATGAGCTTTTATTTAAAAGTATTCAGGTGACGAAAAACTCGATAACATTATTTTAACAATTTCGCGTCGCTTTTATTAACGATCCGTCAGTTTTTACCGGGTCACCTGCCGTAGACCCCCGTTCCGCGCAGTCCGTTAACTCGGACCGCTTCGTAATTAGCATACTTTTACTTGCAACCCAAAGATTTTTTACCCCCAATGTCCAATACGTTTGCACCAAATAATTACGACGGGCGAGTGCATTAAGCCCGGTCTCTTCGTATATATTAAAGCGCCGACGCGAGGGAGTCCCGGCAGGTGCACTAGTGTTATATTTCGGATGTTAAGCGTACCGTGCTAGGTGCAAGTTAATAAGCAAAGCGTGAATATTCAATCCTCATTAGCCGCGCAGCTCTGAACAAGTGCACCACATTGACGCTTTCCTATCAAATTTCTAATGACGTTTCTTCGTACGTAACTGTCAATTAGGCGCGACACACGAAATAATCATGACAATGAATGAAATGACATGAGCCTATCAAAAAAATAAACGTATTCAAATGTTTTGACGGCGGATAATCTTGATAAAATTGGAAAAAATCAACAACCAATTATTAGTCTTGCATTAATTATATTATAATTATACAAAAACGACGTAGATATGACACCAGCATACGAAAATTTAGGCACTCAAATTAGACCAATTGTATAATTATGTTACAATTTTATCTTTCCGTATCATAAGTTCTATATCATCTGTCATATCCACTTATATACGTCATTTAACGTAAAGCGGAAAAATTTTTAAACGTCGCGCTGTATGAATATGCGTCGTCTATATTGAAACATCATTGTAATGCATAGTTAGAAATCACATCTTCTGTAATATGTCGAACTCGAGTGAATTTGTACCACTCTGTAACAGTATCGCGATTTAAAATTTTATGCTATATTATGCTATATCCTTACTCTATCGTGAGATAGAAAATTAAAAAAACAAACATACAAATTCAATCGAAACGCTCAGATTTCTCCCCGAAGTTTTTATAGATGTTTTTTAACGATTTCGACAATATTTTATCTGTTATCTAATAGGAGTGGTTCCAAGAACAGATTTCTTTGATTCCGGTCAGAGATGCAACTAGTCGTTTATTGCTTTGTTAAAGATCGAATTTACAGTCTCGTGGGTTTTATGCTTACTCCTCGAGTGTAACTGTTAATATACGTCTCGGTTTAATGAACATAAACTAATTACATAACATAGGTATGCATCGGTGCATCTTATATATTATATATTTGAATGGCTTTCCCGGAACACAAACTTAAAATATCTGAGTTTTTACACAGTAAAAGTCGCGTAAACGTCTCCTAAATTATTAGAGCCGTCTTTATCGCATATCATAATTATGTCAGTTATGCGTAATGGTATTAATAAGCAGTGTTTAGTCTCACAAAGTCTTTCTGTGGATTTTATCTGCGTACTACGAAAAACAGTATTTGTATAATATTTGAGTGGCCACTCCTCGATTTCAAGTTGGAAATTCTACTGGACAGTCTGATTTTATAAAATTTTCTTATTACATACTCTTTTCGGACATTTTATCGCATCATCTATTTGACAATCTTAACCAATTTGAATTTATTATAACAAGTAATCATGATGGAAAATTTGAGTTGAGTTAATGAGCGATACAAGAAATTACCAACGTTTCGTCTTAAAAGCCTCAGAGAAGATTGGCGTGAAGTGGAAATATCTATTTAGCATCACATCTTAAAGTATAGGAATTGGCTAACGTAATCACCATAAGCTAACCAATTCCTTTACTTTTAAGCTATGCAACATGTCTGCAACGGACTCTATGGAAGGCGGTAACGACATAACGTCAGGTGAACCATGTAGTCAGTTGTACAATGAAATTAATAAGTTTGCCTTAGCAGTTTTATATTGACTTACTTACATAGAAGCCAATCATCATCATCATCATCAGCCGCAAGACGTTCACTGTTGAACATAGGCCTCCCCCTTAGTACGCCACAACGAACGACAATTTGCCATTTGCATCCACCGGTTGCCCTCGACTCTTATGATGTCGTCAATCAATCAATCAAAGAAGCCAATCACCCCTAACATAATATTTTTACACGTTTTCATTGACGAATGACTCTACATACTTGTTAAGATGTTTTACTTCATCTAAGTAGATAAACCAATAATCTATTGGTTGTATATAAAATGACGTATATGTATATACATCGAAATTAGTTTTATATGCGCACTAAATGTTAACTGGTTAAAATACCATTTGACAAACATGTACAATAACTTGGTAGCAAAAGTCGGCATCAAATCAAACATACGGACGGAATGGTGTGCTTAATACTTCATAGTAAATATTTTAAAGCCACGTTAATTGAAAGGGTTTACGCAATACAAAATCGTGCAATTACGTCAGTTTATTGTTTAAGATTTTATATTTAATAATGCGAGTTTTCTGTAATACCAGTTTAATAGCATAGCTTATTTCTATAATGATTCCCCCATTTTTCTTGTATTTATTGTTCTAAATATTTGTCACTATTAATTCCTATTATAATACCAGCTAATCAATTCATTCAGTCTCTGTAATTACTGAAAATATTTTAAATCAATGAATAATGTTACATGCTACAGTTTTTAATATAAGTCTGATTTTATTAATTTAGTATTCAGTAACTATAGTAATTGTATTTACATAATCTTGCAAAATATAAGACCTGGATTGAATAGACTATTTCTGCAAATAATCTTGGATGTGTGATGTGTGTGGATGTCAAATGATTTATACAACAGGTATTTTAAAACTCTTGAATTTTTTGTTTAATAAGTGAACTGAACACTTAAGTATATTGTACTGGACAAAGGCATCTTCTGGATAAAGGGCATGTTCCCTTGAAGACCTCAATGAAGAGGATTTACACGGTGCCAGTCCGTTATGGCATCGTCGGTCTTCTACCTTAAATTTATTCGATACTTTAGTTATACCTTTTTAATTATTTCGAAAAGTGTATCTATTAATTTTAGTACTCTAGCAAGTCAAATCTCTACGCCGGAATCAATGTCCATCACAATCTTTAGCGATGGCTTACCGTGCTTAGCGATTAACGAAAAGGACTTTATGTAACGTGCAAATTTTCTTCGAAATAACCAATAATGTAACCTGCATATTGAGTATCGAAATAAGCAAATTCTGTTTAGATGAAATGGCATTTAAGGCGAGTTGTAAACTCAAAATAGCTCGTGTCGCGCGACTGGTCCGGGGTCAGCGAGATAAGGGCGACTAAGTCCAAGATTGATTCCCGGATCAGACGGACGCTGGGAAGCAGTGAAGTGTACTCTATCCCTTACTCACGACTCGGCGACCCTCTATGACTCTCCTTATGGGATTTGTGATGCTAGTATCGGACACTTTTATATCGGGCTTTAAGCTTGGTATTTATTTACGCAACAACGGTCCGTTTGTTCCATTCTCGCGCCACCGATTTATTACTGCTTATCGTATTGTTCAAGGGTCGAAATTATTCATGTGTTGTATTCAACTTGTATTGATATGTAATATCTTGTGTAGCGCGTAAAATAATATAAATTGCAAATAAAAAAACGGTACTGCTCTATTTTTCGAGAAAAGATTTCTGAATCTTCTTTATTATATACTGAACAGGTATTTCAAAGGCAATATTCCTTCTTGTAGGTTTTCTAAGTATGAGCAAATTAAAATATGTAGAAAAAGTGCGAAAAGATTGTCGCCGCTGTGGGAATCGAACCCACGTCTTCGGGATATGTCGAGAGATGTCGCCATTGCTTTTTAGAACTTAAAATTGTTTATATTTAATGTTCAATCTTAAGTGCAAAGAGTAGCAATCTTTGCACTTAAGATTGAACATTAAAATATGTAGGACCCATAGAGGCGATAAAATAGTCACATACATTTATAAAAGAGGCAAAACTAATCACGATTTTATTCTGATCCCCAGAAATAACTTGCAAACACAATAATGGTGAAAGAACGTATCATTCGCGTTTGGAGTACGTTAGGCGATTCAAACAATGGCTCTGGTCAGACGATCCTTTGAATAAAGAGACTTATTAATGTTCCCGGGATAACGAAATGCGGCGTCCGCGCGGCCGTAATTTAGCGACGTGCAAAGTTCCGTCACATCGGGGGGCGCGCATTCCCGCGCGGGTAGGTGCCGGGATTCGCGCGCGCGTCGTGGGCCGCGCATAGTTGCCGCGCGCGATAAATCGCCCCGGAGTGATGGCGCTCTTTGCGGCGGCATTTTTCCACCGGCCCATACATCACCGGACTCCGCGGCTCGCAAAAACATCCGGCGATTTCCGCGAGAGCGGCGTCTCACGCGTTGCGCGTTTTTTTGGCGTTTCAATCTCACGCCTCGATTGATCCGATATACGTACATTGTCAGACTCAGCCGCTCCAAATTTCAAAGGACATCGACGAACAATGTCGCCGCTCGGTCGACCGAACGCACGGAGCGGAGACATCTTTGCGGTTTAAAAAGATCAATCCCAAACATTAATTGTCGGCCGACAATGAGTCCCCAACGAGAGCCCGTACCGCAAATAAAGCGGGCTTATTAACGGGGGAGCGCTTTATGTGCTCTCTCGAAATGCGATTAAAATTGTATGGGTCCGTATGTCGTCGGCAATGCGCCTCCGTTGCGTCGCAATCACACGGCCGGCTGCGTTTTCAATTTGCCGCGAGATAAGCGCTACTCTCGTGCGACTTTTTCCGCCGAACGGCGGAATTGATCCGTTGACTTATGGCGGACGGAGACGGCCATTGTACGGTCAATTCGATCAATTTTTAATGCGAACGGGGGATTTCCCCGTCCGCGTCCACTTTGTGTGGCAATGCGTTTGAGCCGCGTCGCTGATATTGAGCGACACTTTTGTTGTTTCGTGAGGGTTTGTGATTTTTTATGTCCGATCGAACAGAGCGGGGGTGGTATGAGAAAATAAAAAAAAAGTCTCGTTAAATATCAATAAGTATTGATAATTTATTCGCAATTTTATTTAAAATACACAACTTCACAATGTTTCATTTTTTTTTTAATTTAATAACTAAAAACTTTAGGTACGGGACATTGTTATAGGCTGTTCTGCAAGTGATTACTAATTTACAATTTTTATCTCGATAGTTTTATTTTCTACAGGGTCATTTACATTTTATATGTACATTTCAGTGTTATGGGACTATGTTTGCGGAAGTAGTGAACTGCAAGGCCAATAAAACATATTATGCTTTATCTCATTGCGTTAAGACTCAAATTCGACCAAAGCGACATAAGAAATGTGTCAAAATCGAAAGCATTTGCGGTATATAAATATTAATCACTTCAATCGTTATCATTGTAATATTAGTGCTATAGACATTTAGATCAAATATTTGATTGCACAAACAGTCGTATCATTTTAATCGAACCCTGAACTCAGATGTAATTATCCCACCGTGTCACTTTACCTAATACACGATTGGTAAGTCGCTACCTCCACAAACAACATCCCATTATCAATTTATGGCCACACAATATCTTAAATTTACAAAGGTACAGCGATAAATTAAACATGTTTAACAAAACAACATACGAATTACTGAGAGCGATGAAACATCAAAACCAATATAATGACCTGCTTAGTTTGAAAATTGACGGAATATTATATAGTCGCTTCTGCGCGAAGGCGACATAATTAAATATATACACATTGCATTTATAACTATTATATAAATTACTATTGCATTCCATATAATAAAGACTACTAAAGTCGAATGTACATTTATAGAGAAATAATACCGCGGAACAACTTTGAACACATCACAATTCCCGCAGCGATCCGCACTGTTCTAAATTAAATACAAAAAAAAAATAGCGCAAAAAAAAAAAAAACAATCTATACAGGAACGGTATATAACTTAGTAAGATATGTATGTACAAAATACACAAATTGTTCTCTTTTTTTAACAATACCTACTTACTCATATATATATAGTATATATAAATCATCTAAACGGACATAATAAACGACCCTAAATTATTTTATAATACTGTACAATTTCGCTAGTTGCTTTCGTGTAAAACTCTCCTAAATGGATCACCGTCGATTCGGGCGAGAGCGTTGGGGACCGCGTTAACGGTCACCACCGCGTTAGTGGTCACCGTTCGGTCCGCCGCCCGGACGACGGTCACCGGCGACCCGAAACTAAAACGTGTGCGTTCGCGTTAAGTTACAAACATCAATTCAACCAACAGTCTTATTAAATCAATGCGATGCGCCAATCGTTAGCTGGTTGTATCCCCGTGAAATCACAGCATTCATTTTAGCGATGTCCTTCCCACTTCAGCTGAAGGGAAGTTTGTCGAATGTCGTGGGATCCTGTGTGCGATTAACTTATCACGTGTACTCACTCCTCCAGCCAGTCTGTAAAGAAGAACGTGTGTTGAAATAAAAAAGATTCGTTCGATGAAAGAGACAGAAGACTCGGTGGCGCCGTTGCCAAGCTATTGGCTTCGGCGTCAGGGGTCGCGGGTTCGATTCCCGCATGAAACAAGTATTTGTGTGAACCACTGATAATTGTTCCGGATCTGGGTGTTTGTTTTCCAAGGAGCGTTGACGTCAGGCAGAAAACGTAGCCTTACAACACGATTCGCATCTTTTGCCGACCCCACCTAGGTGGGATAAGGGCAGAATGATAATGATTTTGACGATGATGACGTAGATGATGATGACGTTTGAGGGAAGAGACAGTTTTTTGCTAACAAACTCGCAACTTTTTTTAACAGTACACCAGAGTGGTTATCAATAGTCTTCCCTGCACGAATGGGCAGGTCCGTCCGAGGTACCACGACCTCACAAAAGACAGGCGTGAAGTGGAAGTGTTAAACTTCTGCATTTAGTCTGGTGAGTGAGGAATTGAGGACATCAAATATGACACTTTTATATTATCCATATAGAAGTTACGCTACTTACCATGGAGTTGAGTTGCGCGAGATGGTGGTGGTGGTACGGATTGTGGGAGGCAGGAGGAGGGGCGAAGCCCTGGTGTGGGGCCCCGTACCAGTGCGACATATGAGCCGCGGCAGGGTGCACCAGACCCACTTGGTGTTGACCTGCACAACAAAAATCGAATCATTAATTCACTAATCTTATAACATTTTTAATATTGTTTGAAACGTTTTCATTTTTTAGCCCGAACTTAAAAAGATATGTGTTATAAGTTTGACGCGTCTGTGTATCTATTTGTGTGTCTGTCTGTCGAATTGTTGCTTCTAGATGAATGTAACCAATATTGTTGCGATGTTTTCTGTTTGAAGGCTGATATGCAGCTGTTTTGATCGAGATGGTTTTTAGCTATAATTTGTTTTTTTTTTTATTTGTGTCAGGGGATTACTTAAACTTTATAATTTTATGTTATTACCCTAAGTATATAATGCCTGGTCAAAATGTATGGTTATGTCAGTGAAATAACAATGAAACAATTCGTTGTCGTTTAACTAGTGGAAGCAAGAGCTGTATGTGGCTGCACCATCTTATAAATGGAAACTTCGCCATTTTAAGATACAGATAAGATTTAAACTGTGGGAGGGCCACGCAACAGTATTCGCTGTTGCACGAATGGGCAGGTCCGTCCGGGGAAGTACCACAACCTCATAGAAGACCGGCGTCAAGTTGAATTGCATGCTTCTGCGTTTCGTCTGGTGAGTGAGGTCAGACCTCTCTGACCTACTTTACAAAAGGTGGCAACGCATCTTGCATGTTGCAAATTTCCATGGGTGGCAGTTATCACTTAACATCAGGTGGACCGCTAGCTCGCTTGGCATCTTTTTACATATAATCACTCGCAATCTCACCAAAGTCCATGGCAGAGGGGAACGCCGAGCCTCCAAATCCTTTGGTGGCGTCCCCCAGGGGCTTGATCATGTCACCCATGACGCCACCCAGGGCGAGTGCGCACGCACCACCTCCCCCCATCCCCATGCCGCCCTTCTTCTTTTTGCTTTTACTGCTCAACTTGCGGTTCCTTGTCTGTATACCCTCTTTCTTCATCGTGAGTGGTCGGTTCACCTGTGAAAGGAACACACGATTAGCAACGTAAAATACAACAGACTATATATCCCACTGCTGGACAAAGGCCCCTGTACAGAGGGAGTATATTGAATGAAAACCAAGCGCCTGCACACTGAGCTATCAAGGCTAAACATATGATTGTGAAAAAGGTCTTTATTATACTTCGACCATAATATTCTGACCTATTTGAAACTGATACGAGTACTTATTTACATGTTAATATGTTAGCTGGTAAGGTTAACAAGGACGCCTCCCTACTCCACGTGTGCCAAACGGAACCGCCATGTTAATTGTGAGACAATTACGCTCATGCTCCTAACAAGCAGCGGCCTGACTCACAACTTTTGACCGAACGTGCTCCTTTTTTATCGCTGCGACAAGACATTAAGCGGTATGGAGAAGAGAAAAAAGCGTCCGCGCTACCAATTCGGAATGCTAACTAGCGAGTATAAAGGCGGGCCGGGGCCATAAACTGGTATCACAATAGTGCTGCGCGAATATTCAGCTGTTTGGTGGCCGATGCCGACATGCGTGAAGCGGACGATTGGCGCATCCCAATTAGACGGGTGCAGTACGCCGGTGCAGTGCATTCGCGGTGGGAAACGCGAGCCGCGATTTCAATGTGGCCGGTGACGACTATCGACGTTTCGGTCATGACTAACTTGAGACGCGGTAACCGATGACACGATGATTCGCTTGCAATCGTTTCTTATATGTATTGCATATTTTATTGTAGTAGAACAAAAATGGGCCGCGACCTAGGAAGTGACAAAGCCTCGCTGTAGACAGAAATATTATTTATTTTGTGTTTCAGTCAATTAAACAGAAACATCGATGCAACACGACTGGTTTTGAGTGTCCGGTGGCAACATTCAATGAGTATCCTTTATACCAAGGAAAACGTTTTAAACCAAGCGGTTAATAGTAAACTGTTGTGGTAAACATTCTCTTGTAAAGAAATCTTTTGAAGCCGGTAAAAGTCTTCGCCACCTTTCCACAGAATCTGTGTTCGAAATAGCTTCACATATTCCATGGGATAGAAAGCAAAGACGACTTTGTCTTGTAATTGAGCAGTCACTTAGAGGTTATATTAATACCAGTACTCATTTTGAAAGTCATCTAAGTCCGTCATTAAAAGAACTGTCGATTCGTTAAAATATGTTCACATATCATACTAACATACAAGTTTAACTTTATTAAACATAAAAATTTTGCATGATAATATAAATAAAGCACTTACTTAGTTTTCTAACATTGAATAACAGTTAAATTGTTTAAAACTCATAACTACAGTTGCATAACTTAATTCAATTTTCGTGATGTTTTTTCATGATTGAGCAGGCCAATTGATAATCCAAGATCATCGAGTTACATTTCACACTGTTATAAGCTTTGTGGCTATTGATGTGGAAAAAACTAGCGTTGTAAATAGATTTCTATGTTATTAGCTAATTGCTTAGCTTTCTGCTATTAATATTATTGAGACTACTCGAGTTTAAAGCCTTCCCACTGATAAGCCTATGATAGTGGCATTGTCTTAATTCTTCGATGAGTATAAGGCACGAGGATTAATTGTCGCTCAGTGCATTCAAAATGAGCAATGTGGGATATTAAGGAATTCAAAGCGCCTTGAAAGCACAGCGAAGTCAGTCCTCGACTAACAACGACACCGAAGCGTGTACTTTCACTTAACCCAGGATCGCCGAAATCTCAATTGAGGCACGCATCCCGCGGGTCAACTATCTCGGTCACTTTCTGCGCCGCGTCGTTAGTTTCCGAGAAGCGTGCGTCACGACGGGCGGACGACGGACAATGAGTTATTCATCGCCTTCCAGGGAACTTGCCGTCGGCATGTGGCCCTAAACGCACGATTGCACTGCGCCCGCGTGGGCTGCTCTCCATCGACTTGAGCGATAGGGGCTGCCCAAAATCATCGTCAGCGAAAAATATTTTGCGTAGAGGACATCTCTTCAACTTCTTTATATTTGACTTGTGTTTTCATTTTATATTTTCAGTGACGTAGATCAATCTGCCATCGTGCGCTTTCCGTCTATGTCAGCGTACGTCAAAGTTTCTTGCTCCTAAAATCCTGGCTTTAATACATTTAATAACAATCGCAATTTAAAATAGAACCATATGCGTAAACTATCCTTCGGCTGCGTCTAGAGTAATAGGCATTTCATTTATGCCCACGAGGTGCCGAATATGTCACAGGCTGCGTTAACAACGCGTCCTTTGTTGCGAGTTTGAGCAATGTCGATTAGCATCATTGCCCGCTCACTTCCATAATAGGTCTTCTCTACTGCGATCCCGAATGATCCGCATTGCAAAAGTGCCGAGTGCGTGCCAATTCGCGCTGCCCCTAATGGTTTCCCGCGAATCGCCCACACAGCGCGGCGCATACCGCGCCGTCGCTCCCCCCAATTGAACCAATGTAAAATGCATTAACGACGGCGGCCCGTCGGCCGTTTCGAGCGCCGCAAATTGGGCCATTGCGAAGCCTTCGCGTTCCTGCGATTAGGGTCGCTCCACCTCTACGCGTTTGATGAGACGTCGCGTTTACTTGTCGTTCACCTAAATTGCTGGCGATCCTCCTGCTTGAAACTATATACGGTGCAATTCCAGATAATACGGGACTATCTGTCTCGCCACTGTTTGACGAATATGATGCAGTTTGGACGATGCAAGACGTTTTAAGTTCTTGTATTCAATTTGAGCGTGGTACAAATGCGAAAAACCTATACTTTTACGACCTACTTGAATATATATTTGTAGTATTATACTCTTTCGGTATTCTACATACTTTGCCTATAATTAACTTAGTACGTTAAACTTTTACGTGCAGAGACGCAAAAAAACCGTCGACAAAAATTTAAAACCGCCTAAGAATCTTAATTAGAACTCTGCAATTTAGTTTCCCACGGGGCGACATTGAAATTAGCGACGCGTGTCAAATCGAAAACAATTACGATTCCGAGTGCATTCGACTATCCTTACTGGGTACAGCATTAGAAAAATTGAGACTTAAAAAAATATCAAACAGGAAAATAAATGCTTGCGTTTGCAATGGCCATCGCGTAGCGTACTTTGCATGCGAAATGGGGGGGACCTTTTAAGGATTATACTGCCATACGTGGCGTACGCGGAAGGCTAGCTACAGAGTACAGACGGGTACTTACGGGTACACACAGATACCCCGATAGCTGACCGTTGAATCGGCCTAATTAAGTTACATCGCCACCCGTTCGCTGCAAACTAGCAGGGAATTGTACCGCGTGATCGCCCTCATGTTCGTTCGTCGTACGTGCACCTAACGAAGTGGTCAACTCGCCTATAAATAGCCGACACGGGTTTAAATCTACTCCAATTGCATAGGAGGCAATGAGCGCAAGGTCTCAGGGAATAGCTACAATGTACTAGAGACCGCGAAATTGATTCTGAAGGTTTTCAGAATTGTTAAATACATTAAATAATTCTGCAATGCGTCTCTATTTGTTTGAAAATTGACAGACTCGTCTATTCGGTATAGCCAAATAAGAGCCCTCAGGACTGAAAAAAAGAACGGATTTAATATTAATTAAGAGATAATTGAAATTTCAGTTCGGCTGTATTACTGATATATTTATATATTGATATATTATGTATATTTCTGATTATGATAATTTAATAGTTACCTACACATGAACGATGATAAACGATGACTATTGGAGCTTACATAACTTTGTTATACATTGATGTTGTTGATACGAAAAAATTTTTATTAAAAAAAATCAATGATCCAAATCACACAGAGAATGCTGTCAATCTCTAAGAAAATTCTGAACACAGCTATAAATTGAAATGGCTTCCTTCGAATCGCAAAAACATCGTATGTTAATTAGTTATACCAATTATCTATCCACGGAACAAGAAGTATCATTTAGTAGAGCGTTTGTAGATAAAATTAATTTCTACTACTGATATCGAATAAATAGAACTACCGTTGATTTAGACTAGAAATTCTTTCGCGTCCGCCAGCGAAATCTTATCGCTGTACGTTCATGCGCCATTCGAGCTAAATTAAACAATCATAATTGCGCCAAGAAACATCGCGAGCGTACGAGAACGAACCCGCTTCCTCCTCCGTTGCGATATATGTCCACGCTTTACATGAAACAACGCCGCTAACGGCCCACTGCAGAACTACGCCCGTGGCCGCGATAACGTACTGAAAATTCAACGAACTAATATTACGAAAATTTGTCGCACATTTTCAAAAGCGTTCTGGCAATTTTTTTTAGCGATAGCCATTCAATTTAGAAATCAAAGAGATTTCTAAATTAAAAAACAGTTGAAATAAACGCAAACTGTTAGCTAATGGTTGAAACGTTGAGGAAGTGAGTAAAAATGAAAAAAACTAAAAATATTAAATGTTAAAATTTCAGACATACGTATTTGGGTATATCCTGTAAAATGTAAAATAAGTAGACCATTTAAAAAAAATCTTGATAAGGTTCAGTTATTTTAAAAGTGGGAATAGCAGGTAGGTCAAAGAAATATTTGGTAGATAGGTATGTGTACTCTCTTTTATATTAGGAAGTTTTAACTTATACTACTTTAGCAGTAGGATATAGGTACGAGGAAAGACGAGGTACGAGTAAATTTGTTTAAAAGTAAAGTAACAGCCTATAAATGTCCAACTGCTGGGCAAAGGCCTCCTCTGTACAGAGGGTATTGGGGCATAGTCCACCACGCGTCGCACTGCAGATTGGCGGATTTCACATATCTTCCAAATATATTTTTTTGTTATTATTTCAAAAATATGCAGGTTTCCTCACGACGTTTTCCTTCACCGCGGAACACGTGATAAGTCAGCACTTAAAGTTAAAAACTTCATTGGTGCCGGCACGGGGGATCGAACTCAGGTTGCTCGAGTATATTGAATTAAAGGCGAGCGCCCGGACACTGAGCTATCATGGCTTAAATTTGTTTAGCAATATTTAAAAAGAAAAGGAAAG